CTGGGCAAAATGGTGAAACCCCTCTCCACAAAAAATACAAAAATTAGCCAGGCATGGTCGTTCATGCCTGTAGTCCCAGCTACTCAGGTGGCTGGAGTGGGAGAATCGCTCAAGCTTGGGAGATGGAGACTGCAGTGAACCATGATTGTGCCACTGCATTCCAGCTTGGGTAACAGAGTGAGACCCTGTCTCAGAAAAACAAAACAAAACCCAATCGGGAGTTGCTTAGTTATATCCCCCAAAATCTGCTCTGGTGAAGCTCTCACTGTTGTTAGCCTTTAATTCAATCATTGCTTGTGTAAGAAAGCCTAGCTGCTTTAACTCCCAAAGCCGATTATCATACATTTAAAAACAAGTAGAGGAGGGTAGATCAATACAAATATAGATATTTTATTCAATAGTGTAGAATTTTTTTAAATTATAACTTAATACTGATTTTTTATAAATCTGTAAGTTGTCATTTGGCCTTTGATGATGATCCCAGTAATTAATATCCAAGTAATTTAATATCAAGTTTGAAACATTGAAAGTTCTCTGACTGAATCAAGTATAAACAATATTAACATTATGCATATTCCAGCTCTATGAGTTTCTATGGAAAATAAATTCAATGTGATTATTCCACCTGATGCTCAGAAAATTATTACTGCCAAGTTTTTTTTTCTGTGTACCATTTTATTTCTGGATCAAACATAACACAATCATATAAGGTGTTTTTTCCTGACCAAATAAAAGTACTTTATTTATAAATAGGGAGTTTTATTTGAGAAGCACCAAGCTGACTGTTTTCTATATATCTTTTTGTAGTTAGATCTCTTATGATGCAAATTCCCAAGAAAACCGATTTCTGAATTTAGAATAAAGCCAAATTCTCTCACAAGGTGAATTAGACCTAAGAAAAAATGTTTTCCTCTCTAACTAGACCCACAAACCGTGTGAAAATATTTTTGCCATCCAAGAGCTATTATAAATGCTAGCCTCTGTTCACCAAATGTATTTATTCCACAGGCCTCAGTTCTTCTACCCTCTTAAGTACATTTCACTTGGCATATAAAATTATTTTAGGTATATCCTCTTCCAGGAGATGTTCCTGAGGCATTTCATAAGCATAGTATCACACATTTATGACAAAAATGAACCTGTGTCTCCTTCCTTCCTTAGCTTCAGAGTTGTTCTCTTCTGGTCTAGCTAATAGCAATAAATATTACCTCAAATCAGAGCAAGGAGGAAGGAGACACTATCTACCATTACCCTGCTCATTATATATCCAAAATATAAATCCGATTCACTTTCTTCTTTCCATTTTACTGACAATATCTATATCTAACACTATTAGGGATTCTGGAAAAGCTTTATAATTAATCTACTTTTCTCTTTGTTTTCAATTGAATTCATGTCCCCTCAAAACTTATATGTTAAACCCCTAACATCCAGTGTGACTGAATTTGGAAAAGGGCCTTTGTGGAGGTAATTCAGATTAAATGAGATCATGAACATGGAGCCCAATAGGACTAGTATTCTTATAAGAAGAGGAAGAGACACAGGAGAGTGCTTTCACAGAAAAAGACCATGTGAGGACACCTCAAGAAGACAGCCATCTGCAAGCCAAGTAGAAAGGCCCCAGGATAAATTATCCCTGATGGCACATTAATCTTGAAGGGGTATGTGTGTTTTCACATGCCCACATATTTTCCCTACTAGACACAATGATATTCCTACCTCTTTGACATATGATGTATGAGGGGAAGGGTTCTGAATGCCTTTCTCTCACTTAATGTTATCTAGGTTGGATCTGTGCAGGATGAAAATTTCCAGTGTCACGGAAAAATCGGTGAGTGAGTGTCTCCCTGACATCTGACTACCACTTTTCCTTTTAAACTGTTATAGGGACTGATAACGTAGACAATGAGGTTTACTCCCACTATCACTGTAGCCGAAATGATTTTCATTCCAGAAATGATGGACTTCACAATTACCCCAGAGAAGACAATCTCATCTCAGTGTAACCATGGCAGTCCATCAGTCATCCCTTCAATATTTGCTTTTCCCTCTCATTGATATCATTGTATTTTGGCAACATTTTTAACACTATAGAACAGATGTCTGAAGGATATATCTGGAATTGTTAAAGGCCATGTCAGTGAATTTCTGATATTCTTAAGAGTTGAGGGTCTCTTTGAATGCAGGAATGATATTCTGGGTCGCACAAAATTCATCAAATCAGTTTGCCAGAATGGCCATCTACTTTCTTTTGGATGAAATTTGTACATAGACTATGGTCATAATACTAAGAAACTGACTGGAATTATTTTTTCCCAAAGGATATGAGTAATTGTTGGTTTGGAAAACTGCTGCCATTCTTGAAAGAGATGATACAATTTCATGATTCATTCCTGTTGCAAGTAAGGAGACATCAGCAAATTGAGAACCGATGAGGATGCTTTTATTCCATTCCATTCTGTGAGTGAGCCTCAACTTTGTAAGGTTAAAGCCATCAAGGGACTCACATATTTGGCATTGACCCACCCCATTTAAGGCTGGTGGGATTTCACTCCTGTCACTGATCACATGCTTCCTATTCTCAGTCAGGAAAGTGCATGAGCATACCATGAGAAGTAAGTGTTTATGTGAAAACATACACAGAGCTCTTCAAGATTAAGGCTCCATCAGGGTTGGTTTCTCCTGAGGTCTTTATCCTTGGCATGTAGATCGGTGTCTTCCTGAGCTGCAAATTCAGCCACATTGGATGTTAGGGGTCCAACATACAAATTTCAAGGAGTCACAATTCAATCCCTAACAAGAGGGAAAGGAGATTAATCACAAAATGAGAATAATTATATCTGAATATGTAAATCATGTAGTTGAGGGCACTGAAGGAAATGGTGGTGGTCAGAAGAGGCTCTGGACTGGTATTAAAAGTAGTGCCGGTGACCAGATTCCTCAGACTGCCAAATCTTTTTACTCTGATCTTATTCATTGTTCCTGAAGAATGTGGGTACAGCTGGCATTGTACAAGATCTGTCTGTTTAATGAGGTGTCAAGAGACTGTATGCTTACTTACCAGGCTTCCTTCCTCATTAGAGACATTTCACGAGCTAAGATACCGGGTCTTTTATAGAAGAGGTAATTGTTAACATGATGGTTCAAATTTAAATTTTATATAGAAATTCTTTTACTTGAAACAACTCAATACGCATCACCTTACAACAACGAAAACTACTTAATTTTTATTACCTAGTAATTTTGAAAGCAAATCCACGTCACAAATGTGCTTTGATGATATAGATATCACATGGTTAAGAAATAAAATAAAAACATACTCTCATATATTTTGCAATAAACTGAAACATATAGGTTTGTCTTTGAATTGTCTGGTATCATTTTAAGGCAAACATTTCTAAATTCAAATGTTAGACTTATAAGAATGTATAACATTATTAGAGTGGAATCACAAGATTAAATGCTGCATAGAAAGACACAGTGTTAGGCACAAAGCACAGCTTACTGGAGTGAGATAAATTCTCTCCCATTTAATGTGGTTGCCTTCCCTTGCTAATGAATTTGGTATGAAAGTGCACTGAAACTGGTGATTGGTAGGAATGTTAAATGATCCTGTAGGAGTTATATTGCATTCTGCAAAGAAAAGTGATAGGTTACCGCAATTAACTTTGGACTTGTTTCGCATTTAAGAATAGAATAAAAAGAGGAGACCTTTATTGGAAATGGAAGTAGTGTTTCACAATTTATTTTTTTAAAAGACATTTATAAAATGTAGTCAAGTGGGCAGCCTCTATTTGGAAAAAAAAAAAAAAGCCTGTAATAGTGCATGGCATAATGTTTCACTAATGTACACATGTAATCTAAAAGCTTTCAGTTTTAAGTATGAATAAAACAATACCTCATTTATTTAGCTTAGTAAAAAAATTAATTGTACCATATACGGTTAGCTTATTGTTACTGACTGGAACTCAATCTCTGCATGTCTATTTATACCAGCAAAATGCATTATAAAAAGAGGGATATGATTATGTGGTAAAGATAAACTTTAGGAAATGATTTCAAAGGGATTTATGAAACAAATGCTTTTTCTAGCAAGATTATACCATTAAAGTAAGGCCTAAATATGTACCAAATTAGAATGCTTCTAAAATTTTAAAATACTTGAGTGTTTTCTTCATTTAAATAGTAGAAAATAAATAATGATGAGGATTATTTTGTGGCAAATAATGAATAAATTTGCTCAGGGCGATGAAGTGTCCATCAGTTACTTATTTTACCATGAACGTAGACAGGATGAAAAATCTTACTTTGTTCCTTTGCAGATTGGATACTGTATATGTATTTATATCACCACATAACTCAAAGTATTAAAAGGGAAATCTTCCTTCTTGGCAAACTTTCTGAGAGTTTATTAAGTAATTTACTCATTTTTAAGCCAAGATATCTTTTCTTAGTTTCATATGTATTATGCTTCACCTAAATATCTATTCTGATTTCTTTCTCTTTTGCATTATTACATAAGTCAAGGCTACCACATCATGCTTTACTAAGACTGCCTCAAACCTCATCTTCCTGACTCCTAATTCATCAACCTGTGATTGCACTGTCCACAAGAATGCAAATCTGAGGGTGTGCAGCTCTTGTGAAGGGTTCCATTGCCTCACCATTGTCCCAGGGTCAAATCCAAGTTCTTTAACATGGCTGATTTTGACCTGGTCCCTGATTACCCCTGCAGCCTGACCTCACAGCTCTTTTCTCTTAGAATGTAACACTCAAACATTAGAGCTTCTTGTGTTTTCCCAATGCACCTTGCCCCCTGATCTATAGTATTTGAAGGCTCTTCCTCTGGCTAGAATTGTCCACTAACTCTTATCTAGACTCTGTCCTGTTTAAACTTCAGGTATCAATTTGGACATTTTTTCCCCCATAGAAAAGTATCTCAGCCACAAAGCCTTGGTGAGATGCTCAGTTTACATTCTCCTACCTCACGGATATATGACTGCTACTTGTCTCAGTCCTCCACAGGACTGTCAATTCCTTAGCAAGAATTATTTCTGATTTCCTTTCCTAGTCTGACCACTCAGAGTAGTGCCTGGAGCATAGAAGACATTCAGTGAATATTTTCCAATTAATGTACTCCAAAGACTTTTAATAGTTTAAGTTACATGTGTGTATACATTACTATTTTTATATACATTTTACTATTAGTATTTAACTATAAATTCTGTTAAATCTATGGATGTTTAAAATATGCTTAATCAGATTTCTACATAGTACATGAAAAATGACATACTGAGAAATTCTCACTTGTAGTTTTCTTTTTCTACATATTCCCATCTGTTTGTCTCAGGAAATCTAAATTGATTATTTGGCTATAAAATCAAATGATAATATTGCAAGCAACAGCATGCAATTTCCTGAGTGATTTTAAAATATCACCCCTGAAAACTTCAGGAAATAGCAAAGAGAGAGAAGCAGAAATCAACATTTTTTCAGTTATCAGCTTAAGCTTCTTATGAAAATAGAAAAGTAGAGAAAAAGAGTAGGAAAAAAACTAATTGACTTAGAAAGCTTTAATCTATTGAACTTATTTAACTCCAAAAGAGGAGACAGCTGAACACACTTAAATAATCTGGTACACATGGCATTCATCCTATTTTAAAACACAATTTAGTAAATTAATGAACTCTTTACAGTTAGGTTGGAAAACTGATGATGACCTGAGTTAATGCCAAGATCTGAAAAGAAAAAAAATCCTGTAACATTTTCTTAAAGTAAGTACCATGAAGCATTTTTTTCTTGTCACTAGTAAGATAAAATTTTTATAATAAGAACCTGCATTTAAATAGTGCTTGGCCATCTAGAGAGTATGCATTCATATTCATTATCCATAAGGACAGACAGGAAAGCTGTAAATATTCATGCATATTTAGAGTAATTTGACTCAACATAATAGCAAAACTAATTTTCCATATAAAAGAAAATGTGAAATTATACATTAATGATCATTTAATGTACCAATGGTTTTAGTGGGATCTATCACCTTTTATTTTTTACCCTCACTTTGTATTGTAAAATGAAATTACATATTGGATGACTATATCATGAAGTATTTTTATATTACTGGTATATAGCTTCAAATGCAGAAGAAACATATCCATCTGGAATATTTTCTGCCACTAATGTGACTTTTGCATGCCTATTCAAAATGTTGGACAACTTAAACATAAATAAATCACTACAAATAGACACATTTTAAGATGTCATGGATTTTGGTATTTATAAAAAAAGCTAATGCATATAAATAAATTGAAAGGAACATAAAACTAATTCAGTCAATGTCTTTAGTTTCCTTAGCTAAAAAAAAATTGAATATCAAGGTTTATTATGAGGAACACTGAGTTGATTCACATTGGGTGAACTAAAAAATTAAATGGAAGGATTAAACTCTGTTAAAAGATTCTAAACTATGTGTCATAATAGACACAGATGAGAGATCTACTTAGATAATTTTACTGTTGCTCATCATAAAGAAGTATTTAGCATTTTATTAATAAGTTGAAATTCCTGGAAAAGCATTTTCTGAATCGAATTCTATAATATCGATAAATGTAATTAACTGAAACCTTTGATTTACAAATTTAGTGACATAATACTAAAGAACTCACATTAGATGTCAGATAATATGATAAACACTTTACTTTTTAGTATTTTTAAGTATTCTTAAACATTTTATTAATAATATTCAATTCATTATAAAATACAAGTACATATTAAATATATAGTATTTTTGAATTAAGATAATGAGTTATCTTTTATTTTACTTTTTCTCACTTCTATTTCTAATCTATAAGTTAGTGTTCGCAAATCTGTTTTTTCCAATTAACTGCAATAAATTCTTTTCAATTTCCCAAACTTCTATTATAAAACGGTTCTTATTTTAAAATTGGCTATTTTCTTTTTCTTAACAATATTTATAGATAAAGTATGCTTCTTTTAGGCAACAGGTCATTTGGTCTTTTTTTTCTTAATCCATTCAACCACTCTATAACTTCTAATTGGAGGATTTAGCCCAATTAAAAAGATATTATCAAGTACAAACTTACCCCTGCCATTTTATTTGTTTTCTGCGTGTTTCGTGGTCTTCATTTTTGTTGTTTCTTCCTTCCTATCTTCCTTTTAGCAAAGGCAGTTTTCTCTGGTCTTCTGTTTTATATTCTTCCATTTTGTTTTTTGTATATTTATTTTATTTTTTTTAATTTAGCATTGCCATGAGGCTTACTAATAATATCTTATAACCTGTGCTGTAAATGACAACACTGATTGCATAAACAGAGAACACTAATAAAAACTGTAAACTTCATCTGCCTAATTTTAATTTTTTGTTGTTTTCATTCATATATTATTGTACTACCTGTGTCTTGAAATGTTTTTGTAGTTATTATTTGATAGGTTCATATTTTAATCTTTCTCTTCAAGATATGAGTTCACACGCCACAATTGTAGTGTTCACACACCACAATTATAGTGTTATAATGTTCTGTGTTTCTCTGTGTGCCTACTACTTCCAGTGAGTTTTGTACTTTCAGGTTATTTCTTCTTGCTCATAAATGTTCTTTTAATTCAGACTGAAGCCTTCCCTTTAGCATTTCTTATAGGGTAGTTCTGGTGTTGATAAAATCACTCAGTTTTTATCGGTCTGGAAACATATTTCTCCTTCATGTTTGAAGGACATTGTAACTGGATATATTATTCTAGAATAAACTATTTTTTCCTTTAGCACTTTAAGTATGTCATGCCACTCCCTCCTGGCCTGTAAGGTTTGCACTGAGAAGTCTACTGCCAGATATATTAAAGTTCCTTTGTTATTTATTTCTTTTCTCTTTCTGCTTTTAGAATCCTTTATTTATTGTTGACCTTTGGGAGTTTCACTAATAAATGTCTTGAGGTATTCTTGTTTGGGTTAAATCTGTTTGATGTTCTATAAATTTATACTTGAGTATTGACTTCTTTCTCTTTGTTTGGGAAGGTCTCTGTTAAAATCCCTGTTTTTTTTTTTTTTTTTTTTGAAAAAAATTCAGGGGTACATGTGCAGGTTTGTTATACAGGCAAATTCATGTCATGAGGGTTGTACAGATTATTTCATCACCCAGGTACTAAGCCTAGTACGCAATAGATATTTTTTCTGATCCTCTCCCTTCTCCTACCCTCCAATCTCGAGTAGGCCCCATTGTCTGTTGTTTTCTTTTTCATGTCTATGTGTTCTCATCATTTAGCTCCTACTTAAGAGAACATGCAGTATTTGATTTTCTGTTTCTGTGTTAGTTTGTTAAGGATAATGGTCCTCAGATCCATTCATGTTCCTGCAAAAGACATGATCTCATTCTTCTTATGGCTGCATAATAATCCATGGTGTCTATGTACCACATATTCTTTCTCCAGTCTACCATTGAGGGGCATTTGGGTTGATTTTACATGTTTGCTATTGTGAATAGTGCTGCAGTGAACATGTGTGCATATATCTTTATGTTACATCGATTACATTTCTTTGAAGATATACCCAGTAATGGGACTGCTGGGTTGAATGATAGTTCCTGTTTTTAGTGCTTTCAGGAATTGCCATAGTGCTTTTCACATTGGCTAAACTAATTAAGACTCCCACCAACAGTGTGTGTTTCCTTTCTCCATCACCTTGCCAGCATCTGTTATTTTTTGACTTTTTAATAATGGCCACTCTGACTTGTGTGAACTGGTATCTTATTGTAGTTTTGATTTGCACTTCTCTAATGATTAGTGATACTGAGAATTTTTTCATATGCTTGTTGGCAGTGTGTATGTCTTCTTTGAAAAAGTGTATTCATGCTTTTTGAACATTTTTTAAATGGGGTTGTTTTCTTCTGGTAATTTTGTTTAAGTTCTCTATAGGTACTGGACATTACACCTTTCTCAGATGCATAGCTTGCAAATATTTTCTCCCAGTCTATAGGTTGTCCTTTCACTCTGTTAATAGTTTATTTTGCTGTTCAGAAGTTCTGTAGTTTAATAAGGTCCTATTTATCAATTTTTGCTTCTGTTGCAATGGCTTTTGGCCTCTCTCTCATGAAATATTAGCCAGTTCTTATATCCAGAATAGTATTGTGTACATTGCTTTCCAGGGTTTCTCTTTTATACTTTTGGATTTTACATTTAAGTCTTTAATACATCATGAGTTGATTTTTGCATGTTATGTAAGAAAGAGGTCCAATTTCAATCTTCTGCACGTGGCTTTCCAATTATTCCAGCACCATTTATTGAATAGGAAGTTCTTTTCTCATTGTTTTTGTCAGCTTTGTTGAAGATCAGATGGTTGTAAGTGTGTGGCCTTATTTCTGGGCGTTCTATTTTGTTTTATTGGTCTATGTGTCTGATTTTGTACCTGTACCATGCTGTTTTGGTTACTGTAGCTCTCTAGTATAGTTTGAAGTAGGGTAACCCGATGCCTTTAGCTTTGTTTTTTTTTTTTTTGCTTAGAATTGTTTTGGCTAGGCCAGGTGCAGTGGTTCACACTTATAACCCCAACACTTTGGGAGGCCCAGGCAGGTGAACTACTTGAGCTCAGGAGTTCAAGACCAGCCTGAGCAACATGGCAAAACTCTGTCTCTACTAAAAATACACATTGTGGGCATGGCGACACATGCCTGTAGTTCCAGCTACTTGGGAAGCTGAGGTAGGAGGATCACATGAACCTAGGAGGTTGAGGCTTCAGTGAGTCATGATCATGCCCCTGCACCCCAGCCTGGATGACAGAGTGAGACCCTGTCTCAACAACAAAAAAAGATTGTATTGGCTATACAGTCTTTGTGTCATTGCTGTTCTATATGAATATTAAAATAGTTTTTTCTGGTTCTGTGAAGAATGTAATTGGTAGTTTGATATAAGAATAGCATTAAATCTCTAAGTTGCTTTGGGCAGTATGGCCATTTTAATAATAATGATGCTGTCTATCCATTCCATTTTAAGCAGTGTTTTGCAATTCTTATTGTACAGACCTTTCACCTCACTGGTTAGCTGTATTCTCACATATTTGATTCTTTTTGTGACAATTGTGAATGAGATTGCATTTCTGATTGGGCTGTCAGCTTGACTCTTGTTGTTTTATAGGAATACTAATGATTTTTGTACATTGATTTTGTATCCCAAAACTTTGCTGAAGTTATCAGCTTAAGGAGACTTTGGGTCAAGACTATGCGGTTTTCTAAATATAGAATCATTATATCTGAGAACAGGGATAGTTTGACTTTCTTTCTTCCTATTTGAATTTATTTTATTTCTTTCTTTGGCCTGATTGTTCTGGCCAGGACTTCCAATGCTATGTTGAATAGGATTATGAGAGAAGGCATCCTTTTCTTGTGCTGATTTTCAAGGGGAATGCTTCCAGCTTTTGTGCCTTCAGTATAATATTGGCTGTGGGTTTGTCATAGAAGGCTCTTATTATTTTGAAGTATGTTCCTTCAATACTGAGTTTACTGAGAGTGTTTACTATGAAGCGATGTTGATTTTATTAAAAGCCTTTTCTGCATCTATTGAGATACTCATGTGGTTTTTATTCTTAGTTCTTTTTATGTCATGCATCACATTTATTGATTTGTGTATGTTGGACCAACCTCTTATCCCAGAGATAGAACCTACTTGATTGTAGCAGATTAGCTTTTTGATGTGTTGCTAAATTCAGTTTGCAAGTATTTTGCTGAAGAATTTTGCAATTATTCATTGAGATATTGTTCTGAAGTAGTTTCTATCTTTGTTGTGTCTCTGCCAGGTTTTTACATCAAGATGATGCTGACAATAAACTTTATACCCTTCACTCTCTCTCTCTCCCCCCACCTTTCTCTCTCTCTCTCTCTCTCTCTCTCTCTCCCCTTTTTAAGGCCAAAAACTTAGATTTGCCCTAATAAGGCTATTTCTACATCTTGTTTCCATGTTTCATTTTTTTTAATTCTTTTTTCTTTTGTTTTCCTGTGTATTTTCAAATAGCCTGTCTTCAGACTTGCCAATTCTTTCTTCTGCTCGATCAGTTCTGCTGTTAAAGAGATTCTGTTGCATTGTTCATCATGTCTATTGCTCTTTTCAGCTCCAAAATTTCTGCTTGATTTTTAAAAAATTATTTAAAAATCTTAGTTAACTTTATCTGATAGAATTTTGAAGTCCTTCTCTGTGTTATGTTGAATTTCATTGAGCTTTCTCAAAACATCTATTTTGAATTATCTGTTTGAAAGGTCACATATGTATGAAATTGGTCACTGGCACCTAATTTAGTTCATTTGGTGAGGTCATGTTTTCTTGGATGGTTTTGATGCTTGTGGATGTTCATTGGTGTCTAGGCATTGAAGATTCAGATATTTTTTGCAGTGTTTTCACTCTGGGTTTGTTTTTACTTGTCTTTCTCGGGAATGCTTTTCAAGTATTTGAAAGAACATGGGCGTTGCAGTCTATGTCATTGGTCATTTCGGCTGTATCTTCATTAGAGAGCACCTCAAGCCCAGTGTTGCTGTGGCTTTTTCAGACATATGGATATGCTGCCTTGATGTTTTTGGGTGAGAGTTACAAGAATTCCCTGGATTACCAAGCATAGGCATTTGTTCTTATCCCCTACTTTCTCTCAAACAACAGAGTCTCAGTTAGTCTCTCTCTCTCGCACGTTCTCTCTTTCTCCTTTCTTTCTCTCTCTCACACCTCTCTTCTCTCTTTCTCTCAGTGCTGAACTGCTTGGATTTGGAGAGGGGTAACACAAGCACGCCTGTGTTCAACGCAGCTGGGAATGTGCTGGGTCCCAGTTGAAGCCAGTGTTTCTCTGAGGCTCACTAAAGGCCTGTGGCAAGTATTCTCTTGCCACCACTGCTGATTATTCCATGTCCAAGGGATTTTAATCAGTATGTGATGAATCTTACAA